CCAACCCGACACCCCCCCCCCGCAAGTGCGCCACCCACCCGCCGACACCCCATCAACCAACCGCTCACAGCCCATCAACTAACTGCCCGGCAACCAATCGCCGACAGCCCGGCAACAAACTGCCGACAGTCCGGCAACCAACTGGCTTTGCCGACAGCTGACAGCCCATCAACTAACTGCCCGGCAACCAATCGCCGACAGCCCGGCAACAAACTGCCGACAGTCCGGCAACCAACTGGCTAATTGCCGACAGCCTGGCAACCAACCACCGGCAGCCTGGCAACCAACCGCCAGCAGCCTGGCAACCAACAGCCAACAGCTCGGCAACCAACCGCCCAACAGCCCAGCAACCAACCGACCAACCGCCAACAGCCGACAGCCCGGCAACCAACAGCCGACTGCCCAACGGGCAAACAGCCGACAGTCCAGCACCCAACGGGCAAACAGCCGACAGTCCAGCACCCAACGGGCAAACAGCCGACAGCTCAGCGCCCAATGCGGTAACAGCCAACAGCTTGGCATCCAGTGGGGTAATAGTGACAGCCTGGCACCCAATGGATCCAAAGCTGATAGCTCAGTGCCCAGTGGGGCAACAATGACAGCCTGGCACCCAATGGGCCAACAATCTGGCACCCAACAGAGCAACAGCTGACAGCTCTGTGCTCAATATGTCGATAGCCAATTGGCCAGCGCCCAACAGGGCACGAGCCAACAACTTAGCACCCAACTGGGCAACAGTTAAATGGTAGGGCATCCAAAGGGCAACAGCCTGGTGTCCAAAGGGGCAGCATCCAAAGAGCATGATGCCCAACAACAATGCCAACCAAACAACATGGCATCCCATGGGGCAGCTGCCAAATGACATGGTACCCAATGATGACAATAGCCAAATGACATGGTGCTCTATGACAAGGACAGCCAATGAAAATAACAGCCCAGAGACGGCATAGGAAGTGGCATGGCCTCTGATGGCAGTGTGGCCCAACAACGACAGACAAACGGGATGGCACTGTGATAGGGCTCGACCCCAAGGCCCAGAGGTTCATAGAGAAGGCCTCCAGGAGGCTAGAGTGGCTGTGGCAGAGCCAGCCAATCAGGAGCCAGGAAGGACTACAAAAGGAGCTGCAGGAGCTCAGCTGCAGCCCAGATAGGGGAGGGAGAAGGCTGGGGGCTGGCAGAACCAAGGACAGCTCAGAGCGGGGAGCTGTTCAGGACACGGTCTCCAGGAGGAGAAGCCCTGGAGGCCTCCCTCTCCTAGCG